TCATTAGAGGATAGGGAGAAGGCTGTCATCTGAAAACTGGGGGTCTTGGAATATATCCCCTGTGGCTAAGGGGAGGGGATGGCTACTGTGTAAAGATATTCAGCATGTGTGTGTGTGTGTAGGTGTATATCACCATAATATTAACTATATAAAATACACTACACTCTATACCTTGGAGAGAGATGGGAAGGAACTACCACTTAATAAAAAGGTGTTCAGTAAGAGTTCAAAAAGAAACCACGCTGCTCCTGTGAGCAAAGCCTTGTTTCCCAAAAGGGATGCATAGTGACGAGGCACGAGAACGTATTTCTATCCGGCTGGCTAGAATTCTTGTTTGGAATGTCCACGTTGATTTTGTGAAATCTGCGGATGCTGTGTGTAAGTCTGCAAATTTGAAGCCAGGTTGGTTGAACTGACCTAAGTTGGTCAAATCACTAGGAAGGGTGGGATGACAATAAAGAAGTAACACTATAAATGTCATAGATGCAGCAAAAATAGTGCATGGCCTTACATTTAGGTTATTTGGGGGGAAATGTGATCATAGAATCTTTTAAACTTAGAAGGCTTCCTGTCCTGAATTTCAGATTTTCTCTTCAGAACCAGTTTATTGCATCTAGTTTTTGTTGTTTTGTTTTTGTTTGTTTGTTTTTTAACATATTTACTATATGTTTGGAGTTTCATTTTGGCATTTTTAAAAATATGTATTTTTTTTTAGTAATTCAGTTTTGAACTTTAAAATTTGTATACTTTCTCAAAAAGAGTTCATTTTATGGAATTAATCATAAGTACAGCAGTGAACAGGGGCATTTTGAAATGGACCCACACTTCAAATATAGGGTTGCAATGCCAATTAACACTGCACTATCCCTTTTTGTACCCCCAAATCAGGTAAGATTATTTTTTCCACACAAATACATTGAACCTAATCTTAATCAGCTGACACTTCTCTGTAGATCCATTGGTTATCCCTCCATAAATTTACATAGCATAAGTCTTACTCTCCTAGTTTCCAAAAGTAGGATAGATGCTGGAAACCAGTCTCTGACCAGGTGGCAGAGGAATAACTGGGTATGCATATGGCAGTGGTACAGGTGTATGTGGAGAGGCCAAACACCTGGAGTCTGGTATGCCGACATATACACAACAGCAATGACACTGACACGGTGCTATGGGCAGCTGCAGAGCCAGGGTCTGAGGTGCAGTCACACAAGGACCAGTGGCAGGACCACTTCCGGGCATGTGCACAAGTGGAGAGTTGTGCTTGTGACAGTTGGAGCTTGTACGCAGCGGTGCGAGGATGGGGTGGGGGACACAAACCAGCAGTTCCTTCTCTAGGGGGGCACAGCGCAGCTCTGTCAGCTCTGGTCTGCTTTGGTGAAGGCTGTGGGGTCCTTGGTGTTGCAAGTGGCATCGGCTTCTGGGGTCCTTTTGACTTTTTTTTCCCTCACAGGGGAATGTCGTGGCCAAGGGGCTCCCTCCTGGTGCCAAGCCACACTGAACTCAAGTGCATGATGGTGTATATGAAATTCATTTTGTGTGTGTGCTCCAATGGGTACTGCAGCTTCTTCATTGTACTCCAGGGCTCTCCCAGGGCTTTCTTTTCTTTTCTTTTTCTTTTTTTTCTTAGTAGAAAACCAGTTTTTGTAGGGGGTTAGCATTGGGATAAGCATTGGGACCTCCTATTCCATCATCTTGATGATGTCACTGCCTAATTCCTTTCATTCAGAAATGCCAATAATATAAACACTCATATAATTTTTATTTAATATTAACACTCAGCAAAATATATAATTTTGATGGAATGACTACTTAAATGAATTAGATAGATATGGAAGAATGGGGAATAAGTGATGAATAAGGAATTATATTATCAAAAGCCAATGTTTGCCAACTTAAATATGTATCTGGGCCTTGAAGTCCCTAGACATCTGTTTGCCCAGGTGTAATCATAAATCATGAGAATAATTACCAAACCCAAAGGGTACTGTTGGGTTAATTTATCTCTAAAACTACTTGCAACTGTTTACACACTCATGAATGTTAGTCCTCTGGGGATACAGCTCCCTTGAGTCATTAAGGATTACAGTTCAATACTAGTAAATGTTTGGCTTAAAATATCTATATTACTGAATATGAATCTTAAAATATACTTATTCCTGAATAGGAACCTTAAAATAATCATTCTCATGTCTACATGGTGGCTAAGTAAGATTGTACAGGTTATTGGACTTAAACATTTGCATCATACTGCCTTTCACAGAATTTGCTACAAATGTCACAACTGGCGGCCATAGGCTAAAAAGGTGAACTTCAGAACTGACAAACTTATTCAACCTGTTTCATGTTTAAGAAATTTTTGTCTTGTTTTTAATAAACTATCTGGTAAAAACAAGGTTGTTTCCCAACTGATTATCTACATTTCAAGAGTATTTAACTGTATTGCTACATATACTTTATAATGATAATATAAAGAAAGTATATCATGACATAAGTTTGATATAATTTCATATCCATTCTCACAATATTTATTTTAGATAGAACTATCTATGTATATGATACATCATTTATAATATATTAAAATATTTAATAATCTTTGATTATAGTCATTTCCAAGTTAACAACCATAATAATTATTTTTACTACATCTGAAGTTAAACAACTTTTTTTCACATAAGCACATTCTGAATATTTTATCCATGGATGATTTTGAATGGCTGCTTATACATTCATTATCAACTGTCATTCTTGTTTTAGTCTCATATAATAAAAATAACTTTATACAGTTTCAATCATGTAGAACCCCAAATTTTGATTTATTCTGCAATTCTAATCATGCAAAATATAACTGTCAAGAAAAGAAAAATAAACTGGTTTATATTTTCGGGGATGCAAAACTCAGATAAAAGCCAATTGTATTTTCTACTCCCCACCACTGTTGTAATGTACCCCACGAATCACAGAAGGACGCCTCAAGAAGTTGAATTAAAGAGTCACATTCATTGCAATCCGGGACTATGAGGGGCCATTCCCCAAATCTCATAGCAACAAGGTGGTCGCAGCTCCAAAGTTACATAGGCAAAAATCATAAGGTATTGATTACATCCCAGGGTTTGGAATGAGGAACCTGGCTCGCAAAAAAGCAGTTTACAGAATCAGAAACAGCATGTTATAAACACATTATCTAGAGCCCTTGGGTAACCTGGGTTAAACTTAGGCATGTTATCTAAATTACAGTTTTCGGTCTCCGAAATCACTGAGTTGTCAGGAATTCATTATCTAGAGCCATCAAGGCAATTTAGAGTAATTGTGCTGTCCTGGTCTTGGGACCACTGGGTCAGCTGGAACACATTATCTGTGGCCACTAAAACAATTTAAGATAATTGTGCTGTCCTGTTTCCCAGGTACAGAAGACTGTGCTTCGATAACAAGTAAGATCACAATCAATGGGATAGTCACGTTACAATCAATAAGGCACTCAATCGAATGGGATGATTTATACAATTCAGAAAATCAAAAATAACCTGTCCATTGTTAAACATAGCAAATAGGTACCATACTTCACCCCCACCACCACCAATAAACCCATAGGTGAAGAGCATATTTGACTTAAAAGGTCAGTTTTAGTAAAAGTGGAGTTTTTACAGGAAACACAGTATAGCTGTATAACATACACAAATATGTGCATTCCTTGTTTCATTATGCCCTCAGCAACCAAACATACGGCCTAATTACTGCTCTTTTGAGATGCAAGGAGGAAGAACATCTGTGAGGGCATATCTAGTTATGAATGGACAGCAGTTCAAAATTTTACTTTTTAAAGAAGTTTTTATTGATTTTAGAGGTAGAGAGGAAGAGGAGAGATTGAGAAACACCAATTGGCTGCCTCTTTACCCAGCCCCCTTCTCTCCCCCTCCCCTGGCCAACCCCACTGGGAATGGAGCCCACAACCAGGAATTAAACCAGGGAGCTCTTGGTGCATGGGTTGATGCTCAACCATCTGAGCCACACCAGCCAGGGAATCAAAATTTTAGTTTTAAAAATCATATTTCTACACACCTCTGAAAATAACCTCATAGAGCCCTGGGAGCACATGCCCAGGCAGGCACATGCCTTCTGCAAATCATGTTCAAGCTGGTGGGCTGCTTAAGTGCTATATTGGTTCTTAACTCTAGTAGATGAGAGGGATGAACCCAAGTCGAATTATTAAAGTTCAAAATCATTTGTAAAATGTCATCACCCATAGCATTTACTTATCCATAATACCAAAAAGCCATTAACATTCACAGCCCAAACATCAAAGGATAAACTATCTTAACTCCCACTAGAAAAGAGAGCTGCTAGAGATCCACATTCCTCCAGAGGAGAAATCTGTGACTATCAGACACACATTTCACATTCAAATCCTCTTAAAATCTTAGTCACGCTTCCCCTTTAAGATTCAACATTTGTATTTTGTGCTGTAATAATTCCTCAATCTCCTTAAGCATGAATTTTCAGTAAATAGTAATGGTCTGAATTATGTTTTTTTCATCACATAAGCAAGTCTAGCTGCTCTATGTTTTGTGTAATCATTTCTTAGTAAAATTACAACTGCTATTAAAATGTCTTTTTATTTTCTGATAGCACCACGGGAGAGATATTAAGAACTAATTTTGTAAATATCAGCTGAAAAATGAGGTTAAGACAAGCTTTAAAATATGCATATTTAGATTTCTGGTCACCAAAAAAAAGACAAGAAAGTAGCTAAATTGAGACTTGTGTAGAATAAAAATCTGCAGATCCTAATTGCCTTATTTGGTTCCATATTCAAGCTTCAGGCAAGAGTACAAATAGGATGCTTTCCTTTCCCCACCCTATCCAAGCACCAATATTCAAAGTCTCATTTCCTGCCACTTTCTCCCTTCTTTCTTTCCTCTTTATATTGAAATAGGAATTTTTAAGGGTGAAATAGGCAGGTTTAGGAAAGTTTAAAAATTAAGGGTCCATGAAAAAAACACAGGGTTACAGAGCAGCAGTTATATTTCCATAAGACAAAGGAGCAGGTGCAGTTACATTTCCATAAGACAAGGGAACTGGGAGTAGCCAAAAGGTTTATATTTACAAAATAAAGGAGGAGGAAGAAAGCCCAGAGGGAATTGGAGGACAATGAGGGAGGAGGACCTCAGGAGTTACTATAGCAACCAATTCAAAAGGGAATATTGACCAATCAGAGAGGATATCAGGACACGAACTGTAGCCTTTATAAACCAGAAAAAAGGAACTCAGTGGGATGCTTGCCCCAACTCCACATGAGAGTCTGTGCTGGGATATTCTTTCTCCTTCCCAACGTGGGAGTCTGTACTTGTTCTTCAATAAATCTCCACCTTTGCTATACCATCTTCTGACCATAGATTCAGTCTTTGACTCTGACAGACAAAGAATCCGGGGAACACCCACGTGTTCCAGTCCAAAAATCCCATATCAATATCCTCGCTTTCCATAGAACAGGCTCCTTCTACTAATTGTCTTCCAAATAGCCCCATATTTATCCCTATATCCCTCTATCTCTAGGGCAGCCTCATCCATCACCCTGACTCACCTGCATCCTGCTCCCTTGCAGGACCACTCCCTTAACCCCTTGAGTGCCGGGGAGCGCAATCGCGCTCCTCCTGTCTTTCGCCAAAAGTGCCAGGAGCACTATCAAAGCTTTGAAATGGCGCCCAGTTCTAAGTCTGCTTTTATTAGTGATGATGATATTGCTAAATATGTCAATGTAGTAAAGGTTTCCTTACGTTTTTGCATATGTAACTTCATTTTCTTGCGATTCATAATTTTTTTCTAAACTGCTGTAAAATCAGCAAAAATGCCTTGGCAATTTTAGCATAGTTCCTGGGATATTGGTTGGCACTCAAAGTGTTAATTAAGCCCTCAAGGCAAAGAGGTTCTGCTCAGTATCAAATGATCTTTGGAAACAAACCTTCAGGTCTATTGACCACAGAGACAGTTTCAAGCTAGAGATAACATTGAGGCCTCAATTGTTTCAGCTCCAGGACCAGAAAATCAAGGAAACCAGGCCCATGCCTGACATCAGGGCCAGATGCACTGACCAACTAGCCCCTACCCTAGCACTGACCAACCAGGATCCCTGACCACCACATTTACCTAGTCACCATGATTAATAATTTTCCCCAATATAACCCATCCCCTTGGAAGCCATCCGGGAGCCAGGTCTTTGAATATTAGCTTATCTGTCTCCAGCTATGGGCCACTCCGAAAAATAAACCCTCACTGTCTTTGCTGCAAACTCCTGTTCCTGTACTGTTGGGCTTTGATGCATGCAGGCAAATAGACCTTTAGTCCAGTAACACTGAGGTGGAGGAATGGGGCACAGCTTTGGCTTGGCCAGATTTCTTTATTCACTCCAAATAGTACATTGACAATTACTTAGGTTATCAATGCAGGATTTAGCATTTGGAGCTACAATAAACCTTTACTAAATATATATGCAGAGAATAACATTTCAGTCCTAATTAAGGTAAAGGACAAAGGGAGAAGCAGCATCAATCAAGCAATATTATTTATTACATAGATTTCAATTAAAATCTGATTCTCATTAGTTTCCTATTGGAAAGAAAACCACAGTCTATACAGAGTCTTAAAGGGCGTCAAAAAATAATTTCTATCTTATGAAATTTGAGTAAAATTCAATACTTATTTTTAAGTAACAGTAAAGGTGTTCATGGTTATAATTTAGGGAAGTACTGTGATTTTCAATTCAAAAATATAATTTACCTACATACAAACTGAGTAGGAAAAATACTGAAAAACAATGCAATTTCATCATGTAAGATATTTAATATACTATTGGAAAAGTAGTCATATTTATGCTCTTGTATGTATTTTACATCTGGCATTATATTTAATAAACATTTGCAATAGTAGAGTGACCAAGATTCCCCCCCCCCAAATTTGAAAAAAAAATGTATTCTGAAATATATTTTAGAAGAGTTATTTCAAAGTGGGGTATGACACCTCTGCCAAGGAAAGATGCATGTGAAGCCAAATTCAATTTGTATCCTCATGAATGGATATGGAGTTATTCTCTGAAGTATCTAGGTGAGCAGTGAAAGTTCTATTGACATTGAGGATACAATACAAAAAAAAGTAGAAAGGAAAATCAAGGCAAAATATAGTTAATATTTAACTTGAATTTTTACAAGTTATATTTATGCTTTGAGAGTATTCTGATTTAAAGGGTGTTGACTCTGAAGCAATTTACTTAATACCTAAGAGTGTAGAAACTCTAAAGTACAAAGAACTGATAGACTACCTAGTTAATATAATGACAGCAACAATAGCAAGATGACTATTAAATCTCAAAGTATATATTTAAAAATTACCCTCCCCCTCCTAGAGTGGAGACAAAGCAGCAACAGTATTATATTTCTAGACTAGAGGCTTGGTGCATGAAATTTGTACATGGGATTGGGGACCCTCAGCCTGGCCTGCACCTTCTCCAATCCGGGACAACCCTCTCGCAATCCAGGGACACTGGCTCCTAACCGCTCACCTGCCTGCCTGCTTGATCACTCCTAACCACTCTGTCTGCCTGCCTGATGCCCCTAACTGCTCTCTCCTGCCAGCCTGATTGCCCCTAACTGCCTCTGCCTTGCCCCGCCCCCCCCCCAACCGTGGCTTTGTCTGGAAGATATCTGGTCTATCTGGTGTAATTAGCATATTAACCTTTTATTAGTATAAGATATGTTGCTTCATTAAAATTTTCAGCTCAATTTTACTATGGATTACTAATTTGGGGTATAAGTGTCTTTATCAAGTCATGACTGTATAGGCTGATACCAAAGCAAATTATAATTTTATCAGAATCCCTGTGTAGGATTTTTTTTTTCTTTGTAAATATTTTTATTGATTTTTTTAGAGAGGGGAAAGGTGAGGGAGAAATGTCAATGCAAGATAAGAGCAGCTGCCTCCTGCACGCCCCCTACTGGATGGAGCCGGCAACCTGGGCATGTGCCCTGACTGGGAATCAAACCAGCAACTTTTCTGTGCATAGTGAAATAGGAATTTGGGGTGGTGAAAAAGACAGTTCTTAGGATATTTTAGAAATTAAAGGGACCATGGAAGAAACACAGGGCTGCAGAACAGCAGAAGGTATATTTCCATAGAACAGGGGAGCTGAAAAGCTGCAACAGGTACATTTCCATAGAATGAGAGAGCTGGGAACAGCAAAAGGTCTATATTTACAAAATAAAGAGAAGGAAGCCCTTCATCCAGAAGGAGTGGAAGAAAGCCCAAAGGGAATACGAAAACAATAAGGAAGGAGGGAGGGGAGAACTTCACATGTCCCATGTGGGGTTTGACCTTTGAGGCTAGGAGTTACTATAGTAACCAGTCTAAGGGAATAGTGACCAATCAGAAGGGATATCAAGGCACCAGGATCTTCAGCCTTTATAAGCCACAGGGAAAGAAACTCAATGGGACCCTTTCCCCCTCCCCACATGGGAGTCTGTACTTTGCTTTAATAAATTTCCACCTTCGCTATACCACCTTCTGTCCCTGGATTCATTCTTCGACTCTGGAGGACAAAGAATGCTGGCTCCAGTCCAAAAGTCCGTCTCAATAGGACAATGCCCAACCAACTGAGCCACACTGGCTAGGGCAAAATTACTTTTTTAAAAGAAAAATTTAAAAATTGATTATACAAAAGTGACATAATATATGAATCTAATTGACAGGCATTACAAACCAATATATGTTTTCCTCACTAACTGCAACAATTTCCTAATGAGAAGGACAGAAAGTTAAAGCAACCGAAGAATACAGGTGTATAGAGAGAATTTTAGCCAGAAACTGGGAGTTGCACTAGATTTTGAGTACCACAAAATTAGTTACAAGGTTTTGACATCTGAAATAAATATGCCTCACATTGAGACTGTGGGGACTCAGTATTGTGTGCTGCATGCTATTGTAAGAAGCTTTTAGGATTATTTTCGGCCTTCTGAAATGTGTTCTTCCCTTCCCACAGAGTTTGAGAGAAAGAGCTGGAGTGATCCTGATTGAAGGCAATGCGCCCCACGTTTGCCAGGTTCATTTTGAAGTTTTAAAGTTTTCTGTGATAAAGTGAAATGCTTTCTGGTATTTGTCAATTACACTTTGAAAAGCTTTGGGTTCTGACCTGGGGGTTTAATACTTACTACTATTGATGGGCCACAAGAGGAATGTTTTAAAGTTGGAGGTGTTTAAAGATTTAGTGGGGACTGAAAGGAGCCTTAAAACTCTCATGTTGCCGGCCATAGGGGGTGTAAGAAACTATAGCAGCAGGTACATGGATTGAAAAGATTATTTCTACAGCAGAGTAATTACTGAAGCCTGTTGCTACCTGATCCATAAAACATTTCCCAGCTCCCTGTGTCAGATTGAGTTGCTCCCTCTGCCCTGCTTCAGTGGCACTTTGGGCATTCTCATATACGTCCCTCGCCTGTTTTAGACTTAGTTGCATACACTCCTGTTTCCTTAGAAGATTACAAGTTTTTTAATCTCTGTAACGTTCGCATCTATCAATGCCTGCCTAACACTTAATTGGTACTCAATGAACACTGTCTGGCTTCAAATGAATTTCAAAAGGTACCCTGAGAAGAATAAAGAAAACAATAGAAGAAGCTGAAGAGGATAAGGACAAAGTGAAAAACGAACAAAACACATAAGAAAATCACACACCATGATAGAATTGAATAATATCAAATATGAAAAAGTTAGGATCCCCACAGAAGCAGATAACAGAGTGGTTTTCTAAAATTATAAAATATGCATGTTTCCAATTTTAGAATGGTTAGTGAAGTAACACAAACTACAATGGAAAGGCTCTTTAAAACAGATCCAAGAAAAAAACAAAAACAATTAGAAACAAAACAGCATAGTTAGGTAAATTAAGCACTAATGGATAGGACAGACAGCAAATTAAACACAATGGAAAAGAGAAAAATCAGAACCTCATCTTCAGGTAATGATGGACAAGTAAATTTACATTAAACCTACTACTGAAAATTACTAGGAACACACACACACACACACACACACACACACACAATCTCCTTGCAGATATTACATAGGCAAGGTCAAAGAGACAACCTAATGAAAAAACTTTGCCTTGAGGTTGGGGACTGCTTTTTCCCTTGGGCTGTCTGATGACTCTATCTGAGAGTACGGCAAAATAAACATTTTAGCAGCCTTTTGCTTCAGTGGCTTAACACATGGAATTAGATTTTGCCAAGGAGCAGATTTGTTCTGGGAAAAACCCAGTGGTTTTAGGTTGGCAGTTCAAGATAAAGGCAAATGTGAATTGAAACTAGATCCATGTCATTTTAGGAACTCGTTTGTCTTTAAGTTTTCACAAACATTGGAACTGGATGAGGATGCTCTAGAACAGTGATGGCGAACCGATGACACGCGTGTCAGAGGGGACACGCGAACTCATTTTTTGGTTGATTTTTCTTTGTTAAATGGCATTTAAATATATAAAATAAATATCAAAAATATAAGTCTTTGTTTTACTATGGTTGCAAATATCAAAAAATTTCTATATGTGACACGGCACCAGAGTTAAGTTAGGGTTTTTCAAAATGCTGACATGCCGAGCTCAAAAGGTTCGCCATCACTGCTCTAGAATCATGAATGTCTACCCTGCTAAGAGCAAGAATATATCATCTATGGAGAAAGCAGACTTTACTTTACTCATCAATTAATATGCACCCATGCTGTCCCAAAGGGAACGAGATCCCTCTTGTTTGCAGCATGGATGGACCTGGAAAATATTATGTGAAGTGAAATAAACCAAACTGAGAAAGACAAATATTACATTATCTCACTTATTTGTGGAATCCAATGAACAAAATGAATAAATGAATTGACTAACAAAATAAGACCTGAAGCACGGAGGGATGGAACAGACAGACATACGTCAATGTAGGGTTGGGGGAATGAGAAGAGATAAACCAAAGAACTTGTAACATTTATATGCATATCCCAAGGACACGGCAATAGGGTAGTGAAGACCTGGGGTGAGGGTAGTGTTACAGAAGACCAAAGGAATACTAAGCAAGCTTCCTAGAGAAAGGGAGGGACCCTGTTTATTAACACTAGTGGACTCCAGGAATAATTTCCAAATCAGAGTGAAGAAACATGCAGAGAGCCTGTCTATATATATCCCTCTGGGGTCTTTGTCTTGCAGATATGCCCCCTGCCCCTTTTGTGGCCCTGCAGGAAGGCCCCCAGGTGTCAGGCCACATCCGATGGTCTGTCCTGGCACCAGCATAACAATGCCCCCTCCTCCACCTCCCCGCCCCAGGGCAGTGCATTGTTCACAGTTCCATGGCCTCTGCATTTAGATAACAAGTTCTGCAAGACCAGTTTCCTTCCTCCTCAGCAGGATCTGGGAGGAGGAGGGGGAGTGAGAGGTGGAATGGGAGATATCTGTAATACTATCAAAATAAAATATATTAAAAATTAATATGCAAAATGATTCATAAACAAATCTTTTGAACCCAGTAAAAATAATCAAGTCTCAAGAAGTTAACTATAAATTCCAAATGATCAGTAACTATTATAGATATTGATCATCTAAATGCTCTATTTATAAGAGCATACAGGTTTAACATTTTAAAACATACAGCTTATAAGAACCACATTTTAATAAAATAATAGTATAAACTTAAGAGGACAGGAAAAATTTACTATGCAAACAACTAAACAAGAAAAGGTAGTGTACCTTTATTAACAAGGCAAGAAGCATTTCTAAAAAAAAAAAAAAAAAAGAGAGAGAGAGAGACTGACTGGATAATAAAATGTGAAATTTGTCAAAAAGTTAAAAATTCTAAATGTATGTGCAAGTAATGTCATGGCCTTAAATCATATAAAGCAGACATTAAAAGAAATAAGTAAAAAAAATGAATATACAATCATAGGAGGTTATATTAACATACCTGTCTTAAAACTAATAGAAAAGCAAACAAATTATTAATAGGAATATTGAAGACTTGAATTAGATGACTAAAAACCTGGGCATAATTGATATTACATACCCAAACTGCAACATATAACTGACTCTTGAACAACAGAGGTTTGAAATGCATGGGTTCATTTACACGTGGATTTTAAAAAGTTAATATAAGGTTGGCCCTTTGTATTCCCCTGTGTTTTATCCATGGATTCAACCAATCACAGACTGAAAACAGTATTTTCTATCTGTGATTTGGAATGCACAGATCCAAAGGGTTCACTTAAGTTGTTTGCAGATTTTTGACTCTGCAGGATTTGCCAGCTCAAACCCTATGTTGTTCAAGGGTCTACTGTACACATTTATGTCAAGATTACATTCATTTTTTTAAAAATTAGGTTTGTAAGACTTTATATCAAGATGTTACGAAGGGCAAGAGATTGAATTTATACAAGATATACTCTGTCATCAGGGGAAAAAAACCACAGAAATCAGTAACATAAAGATGCCTGGAAAATATTGGTATGTTTGGAAATAAACTTCTAACCCTGGGCCAAAGAAAAATAGAAAGACATGATTAAAATAGAGGGAAGGGAGGGAGGGAAAAAGGAAGGGAGGGTAGAAGAAATTAAGTTAGAATCGTAAACATAAGAATTAGAAATTAAAAGAAAATGTGGCATTTTCCACCATTAAGTAAGAACAGATATTACCGGTATTCATTCGTAGGTCACTGATCCTAGAGCATTTTTTTTTTTATTACACAGAATATAAGTATTATTTCCTAAATATTTCTTGGTTGATTATTTTATTTCTTTTCAGATATATTACCCTATTTTTTTTACAATATGTTCCTATTTTGGGGGGAGTCAGGGAAATGGAAAAGTGAGCTGTTTATTGTGTTTGTGTGTTTTTAATTGTGTTTAAAATATAGTAAATACATTCTAAGAAGATAATTTACTCAGCACCACTAGCTGTAAAACAAAAGTCAAAGCTCTTTCATAAACATTAATATATCCTTATGGTGTCTGCCATCAGCATTTTACTAGGGATGTCAACATAGTGCTATTATTAATGTTAGAAAAAAACCTAGTTTAGAAAATGTTTCCATGCCGAGACCGGTTTGGCTCAGTGGATGGAGCGTCGGCCTGCGGACTGAAGGGTCTCAGGTTCGATTCCGGTCAAGGGCATGTACCTTGGTTGCGGGCACATCCCCAGTGGGAGATGTGCAGGAGGCAGCTGATCGATGTTTCTCTCTCATCGATGTTTCTTGCTCTCTATCTCTCTCCCTTCCTCTCTGTAAAAAATCAATAAAATATATTTTAAAAAAAAGAAAAAAAGAAAATGTTTCCATTATGAAACACTTGAAAATGCTTTGATATTAAAAGTCTACTTTCTAACTCAAGAATTTATGTTTATAATTTATATGTAAATATAAAAATATGTATGTAAAGGAGTGGACAAAAGTAGGTTAACAGTTGTGAGTATGCAAAACAGTTTATTGTTGTATTATTATTTAATAATTACTATATTATTGATTTGTATTATTTGTCTTCTATTATTGCTGTTATGATTTTTGAATCCTTACTTATGACTTATCCTTTAAATAATGATGGCTGTAATTTAACCTACTTTTGTCCGCCCCTGTATGCATTGCATGTATTTTTCTTATATCACTTTCATTTGTGAAGTTACTTAGAAGGAAGGAAACAGGCTTTCTAATAGGCCCCAGATAAATATGTTCTAAAGAGAAATCAAAGTAGATACATATTATAATTATGCTAGTGGCCTGGTGCAGGAAATTTATGCACTAATGAGGGGTATCCCTCAGCCCAGCCTGCACCCTCTCCAATCTGGGACCCCTTGGGGGATGTTCCAACTGCCAGTTTAGGCCTGATCCCTGTAGGCCTAAAACAGCAGTTGGACATCCCTCTCACAATCCAGGACCGCTG